TATGTCGAAACCCTCCACCACCCGACACGGCCAATCAGCAAAATAAAGTGTCACGTTGACAAAAGACAATTAGTTCACTACTTTAGCCCACCGGTGTGTTGAAGAGTGAATCCACAACATTTACAGTTTGAATACGACGTTTCGCTGGTAATTACATCCAGCATCACCATGGAAATGGAGGTGAATAACACACTCCCGTTCCTAGATATTTTGCTTGGACATGGCATAAACGGTAAAATAACACACAGCGTTTACAGAAAGCAAACACACACTGATGCCTATCTGAATGCAGATTCGCATCATCATCCAGCTCAGAAATCCTCTCTTATCAAGACGCTCATACATCGGGCTAAAACAGTGTCAGATGGTGAAAGTCTAGTGAGAGAGATCAAACACGTTAAAGAAGCATTACGACAGAATGGCTACAATAATACTCAAATTAACAGAGCACTAAATGCCAAATCACGATCGCAAAGCAACACTGCTGAAAGCGATCAGATTCTTAAAAAAATAAAAAATTCCATATATCTCAGGAGTAACTGACAAATCAGCCCGTGTTTTGCAAAAGCAAAACATTACAGTAAGATTTGGTACAGTACACAAAATTCAAAAACTAGTATCTTGCACGAAAGACGAATTACCTAAATTATCAACAGAAGGTGTATATCGGATTAATTGTTTATGTGGCAGATGCTATATTGGACAGACGGGACGTAACATCAGCATAAGACTAAAAGAACACCAAAGAAATATTAAATAATCTCAAACACAGCTGTCGGCAGTGGCAGAACATGCTTGTCAACAAGGACACTCAATTGATTTTGATAACGTTGAAGTGTTGTGTAAAACTAATTATTACTGGCAAAGACTAATTAGAGAATCCATTGAAATTGAGAGAAACAGAAATAACTTTAATCGTTCCGATAGCTATATTCTTAGTGCGGCTTGGAAGCGTATTATTAAATAATACATATTACAATTCCTTATAGGGGAAACACATTAATTAACGGATTGCTAATGTACCATATAATCACAATAACACATTACAACTAATTACTAATCTACAACTCATTACTAATCATAACCATTGACTGATTGCCAATCGATTATATAATTACAATACCCCCCCTCCGCCTCAATTCACTGCACCTGAAATGAGTTAAGTGATGACGCCACCCTGCTGCTCTATTTAAGACCGAGAGCGAGGGCTTTACCATTCTGGCGAATTGCCCGATGATGCTGGATGTAATTACCAGCGAAACGTCGTATTCAAACTGTAAATGTTGTGGATTCACTCTTCAACACACCGGTGGGCTAAAGTAGTGAACTAATTGTCTTTTGTCAACGTGACACTTTATTTTGCTGATTGGCCGTGTCGGGTGGTGGAGGGTTTCGACACATTTATAAATAACGCGATCTAACCCAAAAACCTTTATTATGAATACATTCACAACTTTGCCTTTTATATATATGGAGATAAACCCCAATTAGGGATTTCGATCGGATCATTGGGGGGGCACGTGCCCCCTCCCCCACTGGCTCCGCCACTGACTTTACCCATGCATTAAATCCCCCTCCCCCGTATTGGGTATTAAACTTGATCTCGCTCATTTAGTAGTCCATCACAAATCATATTGGAGAATAATAATACATGCTGTGAAATATTTTGTCATGTGTATTAAATGCAAGGCAGACGTGAGTAACACATTAATAACACATCTAAGTAATGCATATTGAAAGCAGGTCAGAATCTAAACTAATGAGGCAAACAAGAGAACAATATAGTGCTTTTGAAAAAAAATACATTTATAGTGGTGCTGAAAGTAGTAACTTTTCAATCAGTGCATATAAACGTATTATTACAAGGATTGGACACATGGGTGCAATTCTAGATTTAAAGCTTTCGTGACTGCTAGGATCCATACTCTTTGGGTCCATTGGGTAAAGTCACGTAGGTGGAAATAAAATAACAAAAAAAACGAGACTGTCCTCCAGACAGTCTCGTCCCTTCACCTGATGAAGGCCGCTTGTGTTGTGGCCGAAACGTCGTGATTTTTTTTGTTATTTTATTTTCACCTACGTGACTTTACCCAATAGAACCAAAGAACATGGGTGCAAACAAAGTAAATGCAACTAAAGCTGAAAAGTGTGTAAATAATTGTGGATTTACTTGTTTGGAATTACACAGAACTATAAATACATGGATCTGGGAACAAATGCATATCAGCGACCCAGTGACTTGAGGACTGGAAGTGTGCTTGGGCAGGACACATCACTCAAGGGATGAGAGCGGACAGATAAGAGTGGTGATAGAATGTCAACTGGAGAAGGTGGAGCAATGAGATGAGTATATCTTCTTGGTTCTTTCGGTAAAGTCATGTAGAATGGAAATAAAATAATAAAAATAACACGTAATAAAATATTTTATTTTAATTTTATTATGTTTTATTTTATTATTTTATTTCCATTCTACGTGACTTTACCGAAAGAACCAAGAAGATGAATCCCTGCAGTCACGAAAGCTGTAAATCGAAAGAGATGAGTATAGTTGCAGAAGTGAGATGGATTGTGGCATCGCAGGACTGAAAGATGGTGATGGCATGAGGCTACCTTCATCAAGTGGTGGAGAGGGAAAAGCTGATGATAATGATAAATCCACGTTGATAATCTTAAAAACAATGTCTTCCCTTTTCAGAATATTTGGAAAATATGTCTTGCCTACAGCAGTCACAAGTCATGTCTGATAAATTACTATAAACATATCTCTTCGCGATGGCGAAGATTATATTATAGTTCACGCATACAATATTACCACTATAATAGCCAGCCATTGGCAAAACAAGTAATTGCCAAAAAATCTAATTGTTGCACATCTATGTGCTGGTCTTATCAATGCTGATACAGAATGATATGTAAAAAAATATTCAACATTTTCAATAAACTTACATTTCGAAAGCTCCTGGGAGCAATGTTAAAATATTCGTTGAATATCTTTTGAATTCTGTACCATATAAATGTTGCATTTTTTGCGGGTTGCTTGCTTCCTTTGGTAAATAGCCCCACGGGCTGCTGGGAAATGCACTTTGCCCATTAATGTTATTTCAGATGGTTTCAAGTTGACCCACAACTGCACTAAAAGGCAGAGTCAAGTGCGGACTTTAAGCTAGTGAATTTAAAAATACATGGGCACGACATAAAAATACATACTTCGTGCCACCAATTGGAGTTAAGGAGAGTGTTAACAAGTGTCACAGTAGAAGTGTTTTAAGTCAACACAAAATTAAGACTTTCCGTAACATTTGGATCTTTCATCCTTATAGGAAATAGTTCTGCAAAGTGAATGTGAATTTCTATACACAAAAAAATCATAGCATCAGCCATAGTTATGATGTGTGCTTAAAAATCAGGGAATATTATTCAATAATTACCAATCTTTTTGCAGGTTTATACGTTCCTCCGCTCCGGAGGTGGGGCTGGTAACATGCTAATTCAACTCCGCCCACACAGCTTTAAAAGACGCGGTCCTTGCCTGACAGCGTTCATTCAAGCTCTGTCTTCTGGATAGACCTGTTTCTTCACCTGAAGAAGGCCACTTGTGTTGTGGCCGAAACGTCGTGAGAATTTAATTATTTTATTATTTATTATTTTATTTCCATTCTACGTGACTTTACCGAAAGAACCAAGAAGATGTATCACTTAACTTTGAGCAAACAAACATTACCGTTTGCTAATTTGTAGAAATGTGTTATACAGTCACACAAAAAATATACATTATCTCTCCTGATGGGTCTTTCGCTGCAAGTGCTAGCAGCTTCAGGAACTGTGCAGCACAATCATAAAAATCTACACCGCAGCAGTATTAATATTGAACTTAATTCACACCGTATGTAGCCAACCATGCTAATCGGAGGTGCGTGGGAAGGAGAAACTAAAAGAGAAATAGGTTTCAAAGACATTACGTTTCAATCTAGATTAAAAGCAGATAGCTTTAGTGGCTTCCTAATATTGGAAGAGCGTTCTAGATGGCCGCAGAAACGCATCTGAAAGTGCGCGATGCAGTCACCGTCTTTGTAAGATGGCTATCCAAATGCTGCTGCTGCGAGGATGACTGGAGGTCGCGTAATTTTTTATGCTCCTTAACGAGATCTGCAAGGTATTGTGGTTAATTTGTGGCAAGCATTTTGTATGTAACGAGTGCGTCTTTATAATGCGGTGTTTTTCACTAATTTTCAGAGGGGGATTGCCACACATTTGAAACCATTGGGTTTGACAGCACGATGATGGGGTGTTTTGACATTTGTGTATTGTCGGGGCCGCACGTCAGGTATCGCACTATAGGCCACCAGTGGCCTGCGGGCTTTGCAATGAAGAACACTTATGTATTCGTTCGGCATGCCTTCTAAATTACACTGCACTTCTGCCAATGTAAAAATATACATTGGCATAAGCGCAAAGCATTTTGCATTTCACTGAATTTTGGGAACGGGTTCAGAGAGGGCATGCACAGCATTCCTCTTGACTTTTATGAACACTATTTGGGTGAAAGCTTTTCAGTTGACTGCATTTAGGCAGAGAGCATTATTTGAACCCAGCAAATGGAATATATTTGGATAGGCACAACAAATACAATGCAAAACGATTTAGATTCATGTTGCGTCCAAATGCAACCGCATCTCAAAAAGCTGTGCAGAACAGTGGGGACATGAGCATTCTGCGGAAAGGAGGCAAATTCACTTATGTATTTATAAATATAAAAAGAAAGTAAAGTCCTAGGAAGAGATGAAGGTCTTGAGTCGAAATTTAACAGGGGTAACGAGTTAAACGCACAGATGGCTGCTGGGTCAAGGGACTGCCAAACTCAGGGAGTAAATGATTCAAGAAGGTATTGTTGTCCTATACCTGACTGCACAAGAAAAAACGCTGGTTATTAAGACATCTGTATGCCAAGCAGATATTTGCACAACATGACTAACAGTGAACATTTTTTTTATGTCTTTCAGGAGGAGAAGCCAGAAGTAATCATCCAAACACAATGACCTTGTGCCATTCCTCTATTCCTCGACTCCATCACAGTAAACACATATTTAAATTTTAGACTTCATCGCGCAAAACATCAGCAAACAAAAACCAAACGATGCTGATAATGGACTTAGCGAAGACTGCCATGCGTAAATAAAAGACGTGGAGAACTACAACAGACAACTACCAAGGAATCGGTCGGTAGTTTTCCTGAAAAAAAAACAGAGGGACAGCGTCTGGCGCAATACAGTCGGGCGCACAGCCTCAACTGGCTAACATCCTCTTCAATCTCCCTCACCACTCACTCTCCTCACTAGCCCACGCCACCTGCGAACCCTGACGCGATGCTGCCCATGGACCACAGTCCCACGACTGGCGTGGTGACGGTCATTGTCATCCTGATAGCCATCGCTGCTCTCGGCGCGCTCATCTGCGGCTGCTGGTGCTACCTGCGCCTGCAGCGAGCATCGTGTCCCTCCGAGGACCAGGAGAGCATGGTGGTGGAGCCGGGCCGGTACGAGGGAGGCCTCAACGCCGGCGGTGTTGGGGGAGGACTGGGCAAAGGCAGCAGCCGGGAGCCTTTCCTCATGGTGCAAATGCCGGCCAAGGGGCCGTGTCCGGAGCGCCAGGCCATCCTCATCTCCGACCAGACAGGTGGTGGCGGCTAGACAACACCGTTTTACGATGGTGGCCCAAAACGACCGTTACAACTACCACTTTGGAAACGTGCCGACGCCTAAAGTAAAAACGACCAAACCAACCGTTTATTATAAGTTAGCATATCCAGTCCCCACCATGCTGTCGTACACACTGTAGAATCTCTTTGCAGAATTTACAAACCCGTAATGCTTCGACAACCACATTCAAATGACAGAAGAGGAAACTTTAAGTCCATCTATATTTAAAATCGGAAGCTACAAGACATCTAGCACAAATACCGATCAGAGCTCAATAGACAGTCTATATCACCATAATGATCAGAATGACCAAGATAAATTCATGAACAGAACTCAACTGGACTTTATGTTGTTCCTACCCAATTTACGAAATTTCAATTGTAAAATTGTAACATTTCTCCGATTGCCCTGTCAACAAGTAGTGAACAAAATTAAAAATGCATTTGACTGTATGATATTGCCACTTTCGTGCGGCGGTGAGGAGCTGCTGCTGGAGTGATCTTTTGGGTGGCTCAACGTTGTTGGTTTCTCTCATGCCCACACAGGTGGGGGGGGGGGGAGGGAACCTATCGCGTGTGAAAAAATTCTGATTGCACAGTGTATTTGCTGCTTCAGTATTTAGGTTAGCTTTGGCAAATGCTCCGCAATGACTCTTGTCGAAAACAACAAACGGCGTTGTCTCCACATCACACGGTGGAATGCAACACCGTGGATCGCTGGCGCTCAAAGAAAGCCGCTTCACATTTGTTGTACTACTCAGCTTGCGAGGATGAGACGAGCCGGTGCCTCTCTCTACGTTCATTGCCTCCCTCAAGCCCAAGGGACTGCTCCTTAAAAATAAATGGCTCACTTTGTGTGCGGTGAGGCTGATTAGAAAACCGTGGCTCGAGATGTCACCTTTCTAAGATCAACACTTGACGTGGTGTATCCATTACTCTCCAGCTTCCCAAATTTCATGACGATGCAAGAATACAAAATTAACTGGATCCTTGATTATAAAAAAAAGTTACATGGATCAATATTCGAAGACTATTCTCCATTCAAGTAGCAGACTTTCCAGGGCAATTAAAACAAAATAACACCTGCACCTGGTGGATGGAAGACTGGAACCTGCCATTGCGAGGTTTACTATGGTACATGCTGCTGCGCGTAACTTCTACGAGAAGTGAAACGCAACATTCAAGGGACCAATTTGGCAGTGGTCTACAAGAGCAGATCAGATTAAAACTCACAACTTGTTCAATGAAAGCACCTCATAACAGGAAAATGCACAAGTGGCCAACGTCTGTGCTGGAGCATTGCTTCGCGGTGGTAAGATGTGAACTCCCTCGCTCGTATGCAGGGGATTGTGGGTTCGATCCCGACGCCTGTATATTTGGATTTTGCGTGTTCTCCCCATGGTTGCATGGAATTTTCTCTAGGTCCTCCGGTTTTTCCCTCCACATTTAGAAACATGCGTTTGGGGTATTTGGCTGCTTTAAATTTCCACGTGATAAGCCACTTTCTTGAGCTATCATTTGTGACCAGGTCTCTTCTGAAAAAGAGCTATTTAGCTCGTTAGGTCTTCCCTGGTAAAATAAAGAAAAATTTGTTTTGGTCTGGGCAGGGGCCCAGTGTCCCAGTGTCCAAGACGTTACCCTCTGTGTGTTTCTGTATAATGCAGCATTGACGCAGGTGGAACGAGTATTTTTTCAATGCGTGTCCTTGTACTCTAATACATTATTGAGACAGCTCCAGTTGTGGCCGAATTGTGTTCCGACTGAGGCCAGCGGTGAATGGTTGTCGACTCCACTGTTGAGACAGACGTATGATCTATAGCTGATAACCAAGGGGGATGCCACAGCGCCGAGAGATGGCCCAAGTTTTCCATATTTATCACTCAGCTCTGGTATTGAGTTTTACGGCAACACTAGTAATGCATTTAAAAATGGAAGCTATCTACTGCACACGGGCTGCCAGAGCCATGATTGGTAATTGATAATTGCGAGTAATTGCCTTCCTCAAAAAGTATGAAGAAATCTATTTTCATCTCTCGTGAGGAGAGCTCGGAATGTAGAATATATAAAAAAGAGTGGATTCATTTGATAGTTGGAATAGAGTGCGGTATTGCAATGTAATAATGTCTTCTGTCTGTTACAAGTTTATTTTGCAGTTATTTAAAATATATATATAGTGGGGGAGATACATTTAAGCAATGAGAAAGTTTTAATTAGAATTCTTAAAAAGCCTGCGTTAATAATTATAGCACTTAGACACAGCGACCCTTGTGAGAGGGTAAGGACCCAACTGGAAAATGAAACCAGGTGGTTGACTCTGGATATTGACCAATAGAGAAACTGTTCTTAGTCTACAGACCCAAATATTTTTCACAAATAGACAACAAAACATAGGACAAAGATCTTCCCCCGTCCAGACTTTTCAGGCTGTTTTGACTAGTGCTGTTCACGAGCACCTATGAAGGCAAACAGACACACACACATTCAAACATTCACATTGCTAAGTTGTATGTCGGATATAAGTTAAGTTTTTTGGTTTTTAATTAGCAAGGACAAGAATGGGCATTGTGGGAGTGCACAAGTGTAAAAAAAAGACTTGTTTTTAAGTGGAGTGACATGCAGCGTATTGCTTGCTTATTTATTTTATTACGTATATTCTCCACAACAAAGCCAATTAGTAGTGTGTCCTGTACAGTATTATATAATTGTGTCGAACAAGGACCCATATCTTATAATCTGACAGTTCACCAGCAGCGTTTCAAGCAAGCCTGGCTCGGCATGTGTTTGTCAAAACCGGTCCAGAGTTTTGCTTGTATTGAATCAATGCTGCCGAAATTATTGCACTCCCACACGTCGTTGTGGTTGATGGCAAGTGTAAAAAAATATTTCATTTTGTACGTGGAAGGACAGCTATATATGAAGGAGATGCACTATTCTGTGTGCTTATTTACTCTGTCGTCTCCCAGTGTTGTTTACACACTGCACTAGGCACTCATTTAAACCCAAGTTGACCTTTTCAAGGCCTTGAATAGGTTGGAATTGAATCTAGACCTTGGTATTGCAATGCAGCACAGTGTGTGCAATACTACGTGCCCACTCCATACTACAAAGACAAAGATCGACGTGAATGCACACGTGTGGTGTGAAGGGCGAGGGAAGGAGTAGATGTGGGTGGAGAGAGGAAGGTGACGTTTTCTGCTGCGAGTTTGACTGCCATGCCGCACAAAAGCGTGTTGGTGTCCTATCATCGTTCTGCCGCGCTTCAGGTCTCCCCTCTTGTCGATTCGTCCATGCGATGGAAGAATTCATATTTGATGCATAATTGCTCGGCGCACGCCATCTGCCATCAATTATGGGATTCAGGAAAAACAAACAACAATGGCTGCCGTTACGTGAGAAAAGGACCGGGACAACAGACTTCACCTGCAAACGTGGGTCTGAGTACGCACGAGATTAACGCCACAAATCGTTTTAGGAATTTGAAATACCTACAGTGAGGGAAAAAAGTATTTGATCCCCTGCTGATTTTGTACGTTTGCCCACTGACAAAGAAATGATCAGTCTATAAATTGAATGGTAGGTTTATTTGAACAGTGAGAGACAGAATTACAACAAAATCCAGAAAAACGCATGTCAGAAATGTTATAAATTGATTTGCATTTTAATGAAGGAAATAAGTATTTGACCCCTCTGCAAAACATGACTTAGTACTTAGTGGCAAAACCCTTGTTGGCAATCACAGAGGTCAGACGTTTCTTGTAGTTGGCCACCAGGTTTGCACACATCTTGGGAGGGATTTTGTCCCACTCCTCTTTGCAGATCTTCTCCAAGTCATTAAGGTTTTGAGGCTGACGTTTGGCAACTCGAACCTTCAGCTCCCTCCACAGATTTTCTATGGGATTAAGGTCTGGAGACTGGCTAGGCCACTCCAGGACCTTAATGTGCTTCTTGAGCCACTCCTTTGTTGCCTTGGCCGTGTGTTTTGGGTCATTGTCATGCTGGAATACCCATCCACGACCCATTTTCAATGCCCTGGCTGAGGGAAGGAGGTTCTCACCCAAGATTTGACGGTACATGGCCCCGTCCATCGACCCTTTGATGCGGTAAAGTTGTCCTGTCCCCTTAGCAGAAAAATACCCCCAAAGCATAATGTTTCCACCTTCATGTTTGACGGTGGGGATGGTGTTCTTGGGGTAATAGGCAGCATTCCTCCTCCTCCAAACACGACGAGTTGAGTTGATGCCAAAGAGCTCCATTTTGGTCTCATCTGACCACAACACTTTCACCCAGTTGTTCTCTGAATCATTCAGATCTTCATTGGCAAACTTCAGACAGGCATGTATATGTGCTTTCTTAAGTAGGGGGACCTTGCGGGCGCTGCAGGATTTCAGTCCTTCACGACATAGTGTGTTACCAATTTTTTCTTGGTGAGTATGGTCCCAGCTGCCTTGAGATCATTGACCAGATCCTCCCCTGTAATTCTGGGCTGATTCCTCACCGTTCTCATGATCATTACAACTCCACGAGGTGAGATCTTGCATGGAGCCCCAGGCCGAGGGAGATTGACAGTTATTTTGTGTTTCTTCCATTTGCGAATAATCGCAACAACTGTTACCTTATATTCTTGGTTATTTCGGTAAAGTCACGTAGAAGGGAAACCAAGCTGCTTGGCAATGGTCTTGTAGCCCATTCCAGCCTTGTGTAGGTCTACAATCTTGTCCCTGACATCCTTGTAGAGCTCTTTGGTCTTGGCCATGGTGGAGAGTTTGGAATCTGATTGACTGATTGCTTCTGTGGACAGGTGTCTTTTATACAGGTAACAAGCTGAGATTAGGAGCACTCCCTTTAAGAGTGTGCTCCTAATCTCAGCTCGTTACCTGTATAAAAGATACCTGGGAGCCAGAAATCTTTCTGATTGAGAGGGGGTCAAATACTTATTTCCCTCATTAAAATGCAAATCAATTTATAACATTTTTGACATGCGTTTTTCTGGATGTTTGTTGTTGTTATTCTGTCTCTCACTGTTCAAATAAACCTACCATTAAAATTATAGACTGATCATTTCTTTGTCAGTGGGAAAACGTACAAAATCAGCATGGGATCAAATACTTTTTTCCCTGACTGTACATGGAACTTAAATGGAGTCGGATCGTAATAAAGGATAGCATCCACAGTGATCGTGTAGTTTTGGTCGGGTAACCAAGCTTAAAATTATGCTATTTGCACATTGTTAGATACTTTCCATGAGTCCTGGAAATATCTATGACCAAATCACCGAGAATGACTAATATTGTAAGGCACATTT